ATGCAGTGGGTACAGGAGCAACTTCCAACTTCTTGCCAGCTCCCCAATGAAATAAATTGAATAAATATAATAAAATTGATATTCCAAGCTTGGATAACACATTCAAATTCCCAGGCAAATGTGCAAAGACTTGGAAGTTATACTCCATCATATCTAGAGGCCACTAAACTGAGAAGGCTGGTGTATACATTCACAATAAATAGTCTGCAACATCATTTCTGAAAAATATAGTGACATGTTTGTGTGTTCCTATAAAAAAAAAAATAGAAAGAAGAGAGTAATGAATGCCATCTTCTGATATTTTGAAACCAGGAAAACCTTGTTCCAGCTAAAGCAATGGAAACCACAGTCTTTTATTTTATGAATATTTTATTCATAATTTCAGTGTCAAAAACAGTTTACAAAAAGGAAAAAAATAATAATTGCTACTTGTACCAAGCAGTTGTCAAATGGTTGAACATGCAAGAAAAAGAATGTGCAAAATTTATATAGAAGGATTTTCAATAGCCTGTTAATATGCTACACAAAAGGATTTTAAAAATTACATGAGGTTTGTTTTTTTATCTTTATCACCCCTGTATGCTATTTCCATTTAAAAAATCCTCTTAAACAAATATACATATACAGGCAGATATATATATATTAATGCTAATTAGAATCTAAAATGAAAACATGTATGAAAATAAAAAATACAGTAAAATGTTGATTTAATAGACCATTGGAGGGAGTGTGCCTTTTAAATTTGAATTTGTCTCAAAGTAGTATAATTTGCAGTAAAACCTCAATTTTACTGGACATCTCCTTAACTAACTGGACAAAACAGGAGTGAAATTTAATATAAATCCAGTATTTATGCATTGCATCCAAAGTATAAGCTTAAAGATCCATTAAATTATGGGTTTATTTATTCATTTTGGAACTGAATTCCTGACATTATGTACAGCAAAATTTGTAATATTTGTCAACACTGTGCTTGAGTTGAGGCTTGGTTCTAAGTTATTGTTGACTTAACCATGGTTTGTTAGCCAAGCCACAATGGGCTGATTTCATACATCTTGCTATAAAATACAATTTACAACCCTTTCATGGCTGCATTCTTGAAACTAAGCTCACAGATTAATACAATAAGTCATATAATAGCTTAGCCTGCTGTTTCTCAATCTTTACAACTTTTAAGAAGTGCAGAGCTGAAAAATTCTGGGAACTTAAGTCCATACCTCTTAAAGTTACAGAGGTTCAGAAACATTGGCTTAATCCAGTGTTTCCCAAACTTGACAATTTTAAGGCATGTGGACTTCAACTCCCAGAATTCCACAGCCAGCGCTGGCTGTGGAATTCTGGGAGTTGAAGTCCACATGCCTTAAAATTGTCAAGTTTGGGAAACACTGGCTTAACCTAACACCTGAAATTGTAGGAGCAGAAAATAAGATCAGTATAGGAGAATCTTCTCTACCAAATCTCTTCAAGAAAGAGAAATAAATTACATAATAACTTGGATGGACCTTTTCAACAGAGTTAAGCCCTGTTCTATGACAGTAGGATAGAGTATCTCCCTTGCTCTTCAAACATTGTGGATCCTATAATTACTTATAAGAAGGTCACTGACATCAGTATTTATAACTGTGATAAGATCTAACCCAACACTCCAGAAAAGTCCTTTTAGAATAGATTTCCGGCAGATTTTCCCAGCTCGAATCTAGCCACATTCTTTTTTTTTTTTAAATCCCAATCTGTCAAAAAAGGAAGAATGAAGAATAATTTAAATAGGAGGATGTAAGAACTGGAGTAAAAAAACATATTTCAAAGGTCTTTCTGATATACCATCTGGTTCCTACCACTGAATATGAGTGAACATAAAGTGCTGACATAAGAACAAAGTGCTAAGGAGCCATTCCAGAAGGCAGATACAAGTGGTCCTTGACTTATGACCACAACTGAGCCCCAAATTTCTGTTGCTAAATAAGACATTTGTTAACTGAGTTTTGCCCCATTTTACCACCTTTCTTGCCATAGTTGTTAAATGAATCACTGCAGTTGTTAAGTTAGTAACATGGTTGTTGAGTGAATTTGGCTTCCCCATTGACTTTGTTTCTCAGAAGGTTGCAAAAGGTGATCACATGACCCTGGGACACTGTCATAAATATGAGTCAGTTGCCAAGCGTCTGAATTTTGATCACGTACCATGAGGATGCTGCCATGGGCATAAGTGTGAAAAATGGTCATAAGTCACTCTTTTCAATGCTGTTGTAACTTCGAACAATCATTAAACGAACTGTTGTAAATCGAAGACTATCTGTACTAAATTCAGCATTGTAAGATTAAACATTACAAGACTTCCAGGTCCAAATATTTCTGGAATGAAGCTTCAATGCTAAAAATACACGCTTTTGGGGAAAAATTGGGGAAACACTGTGATTCTATTTGTGGCACATTTCCATACAAGAGAACAATTAGAGCTTCTGCCAATAAAACTATTGTAGCCATCATCTTAATGGTTGGTCTTAATACTTCTAATAATCCTTATTGATTTTTGGGTTTAGTTGCACTTTGTGATATTTTGTAACCTGCATGAGGATGGTTTATAAATATCCTCAAAATTTTGGATTTTGGAAGTGGAAAAAAATCTGGAATTGCAACAGTTGTTAGCCCTCAAGTATTTGCAAAGATATAGAAGACACAGAATCTGCTACAGCCAAAAGCATTTTATCAGACAAGTGTTTGAATTCATTTCCAAATTTTTTCCAGATTCCTCCTCCTCCTCCAGATATTTTTATAGCTCTTTTCCCTGAAAGGATCCCAGAGTGATTCACAAGAATATTAAAAAATAATTATTATTATAAGACCAAAACACTCAGTTCAAAAGATAATGTGTTGAAGGATTGTTAATAGATATCTAATTTAAAACAAACAAACAAACAAACAACCAGTGCAGATATTCTCTTTTTTTTTCTGCTGGCCTGGATATTTTTATGGAAAGGAAAAAGACACCAGCAGTGAAAAGATTTGAAGTGAACAGTTAAAACAAAGATTTTGCATTTTGTACATTATAGCAGAACTTTACAATGCCAAATCTTAAAATAGAAAGAACCATGGTAGGTGAAATAGATTGGACACTTCAAAGTCATAAAAACATCATATTTACAGCAGGGTAATGTTTCTGCCAACAATTTAGCAAACAAGGGGGACTGTTTTCACAAAGCACGGCAAGATTTTGTGTCAAAATGCAGAGCTGCTAAAATGAACCATCAACAGGTTGCTGAGGAAAAGTCTGTTCTCCCTTCTGTAGTGCATGAATAGAAGCCAAAGAATTGTCAAAGAGATATTAAGATTTTGTAGATACTTTACTGTGCTTGGAAGATTACAGCCCTGTTTCAAAAAAGGTAAACAGGATGCATATCTGTGTATGTTTATTGTTGATGTATAGGGAAGGTTAACTGGTTGGATGCCTTAATACCAAAGATTTTACCAAATGGTTTCCAGGCACATTTACCTCAGGATCCTACTGCAAACAAAAGATTGTAAGTCACCACCAGACTATTCTGGAATATGGTTTTTTCCCCTGAACTTGTGTGAACATGTATCAATGTCCTAGATTCACTTAAAAGTTATAAAGTTTATATCCTATACAAGTGATTCAGATTATTATTAGCATTCAAACAACATAGGTGCAACAATCAGCTTTTCTACAGTGTAACATTCACATATTTTGTCAAATCAAAAAATAAAAAAATACACATCCTAGCCACCAAGTGCGCCCAGTAGCAGATAATTTTCAAAATACTGGGTAATACAGGTAGTCCTTGACTTACGGCTTCAATAGAGACCAAAGTTTCTGTTGCCAAGGGAGACTTTTGTGGAGTGAATTTTGCTCCATTTTATGACCTTTCTTTCCACAGTTGTTAAGTGAATCACTGCAGTTATTAGTAACACCGTTGTTACGGGACTCTGGCTTCCCCAGTAACTTTGCATCTCAGAAGGTCGCAAAAGGTGACCACATGATCCCACGTGACCGCAACCGTCATAAATGTGAATCAGTTGCCAAGCGTCTGAATTTTCATCACGTGACTGTGGGGATGCTGCAATGATGATGTGAAAAACAGTCCTAAGGCACTTTGTTTTAAAATGCCGTTGTAACTTTGAACAGTCACTAAATGAGCTGTTGTACATCGAGGACTTCCTATATATACAGAAGAGTAACAAATTTGCAGCCTATGCCGAGTAATTTTTTTTAAAAGTGAGTGGTGCAGTGTAGTAAAGAAAAATGGCTTCACACACATATATACACCCTTTAAAATCCTACCTCCCACAAGCATCTGCAGGAACTTGCTGCTCATGTAAGAATAATGGAAGTTGTGTCATCATGCCATAAGTTTTGCCCCTTTTACAGACCTGTACAAAAGGGGCGGGCCTTGTCCCATGAGATTGCAACGTTGCTTTCAGCATTTTTCACCTTTCCTGCAGATGCCACTGAGGCTTTATGGCTCTTTTTAATTCTCATTTAATTTAATTCCCAATCACAAAACCTTTTCCTTACATTTGATAATCCTTCATTTGCCCAAATGGGGCTGCTTTCTGAAAGAGCCTATCTATAAATACATGAATTTTCTGCTCACTTACAAAGTAGTCCTTGTTTCGTGACAACAGTTGGGACCAGCAACTTGGTTGTTAAGCGAGGCAGTCACTAAGTGAAACCAGCTGTTTACAACCACAGTTAAGACCAGAATTTCCATTACTAAGTTAAGGGAGTCACAGTCACTTTGACAACTTTTTTGCCAGTTGATAAGCAAATTATTGCAGTTGTTAAGTGAATCACACTGTTGTTAAGCGAATCTGGCTCCCCCTTTTGATTTTGCTTATTGGAAACTATCTGAGAAGATTGTAAATAGTGATCACATGACTCCAGGACACTAGAAACATCCGGCTGCCAAGTGCCAAAATTTTGATCATGCGATCAGGAGGATACTGTGACAGTTGTAAGTGCAACTAATGGTCGTAATTCCTTTTTTTTTCCAGTGCTGTTGTACCTTTGTTGCCAAACAAATGATTGTAAGTCTAGAACTACCTGAATTCTAATCTGACTTCCTGTTTTCCTGACATCAGCACCTCAAACCCTGATGCGAACACCATGCTCATATGGGATTTTTTTCTCATTATATAGTGGGGAAGCCTCAAAGAGAAAAACTAAAGTAATATCTTAATTATTCAGACACTCTTTCTCAGCTATAGTGAAATCTGAGGCTAGAAATGTCATTACTTGGATATGCAGTGTGCATGTATCTGTAATTAATTTTTCTTAAAATCAGGTGCTTCATCTTCGTTAGCAAATTAGAAGAGGGATCCTAGCTGACTCATCCTTTATTCTGGGAAAGCTCTGGGTATTAAACCTGTGGCATCACCAATTTCAGTATCAAATGATATGGAAACTGCCAAACTGGGTTCATGAGATCATAGGGAATGGCCATTATGCAATCTAGAATAGGATTGTCATTCCTGCATTGCAAAGTGTACAATGGCCAGTAGATGTCAGCAAAGAGTTTGTTTAGACGGTGTTATCTTTGCTGACATCTAGTGGCTGCTCTGTATTTTCCAGCTCAGATATTGCAATACTCGTTGAGTGATGATCTTCCACATTTAAATTGCACAAAGATTCTGGGCTTTTTGTTAAGATAATGAGTAAACATATCTGCACTGCATGCAAAGTTGAAAAACCAAAACATGTTTTTAGTAAAAGCTCTTCTCAAGTAGTTACTCAGTTGTCTAAGCTGCAGTTACAACATAGCTTTCAGTGGTATCCAAGAATGACCTAGGAAAATTTGCAAATTTCCCAGAACTCAGTACATTTAAATACCCTCAAAAGACAGCCAGATAAATTAAAATTTAAGTGTTAACAAAAAGCAGCACCTGGAAAGCTACTATCAACAGCTTTTTTTCAAAAAAAAAAATCTCTTTAGACGATGTACAGATGCTTCATACCACACACTGGTTATTTGGAAAGCTATTTCAGAGGTAGAAACTGGGAAAATATTTTATCTGAAGTCAGTTCATTTTTTTTAAGAATAAAGGGATATATCCTTGTAAATCTCTTTTAAAAAAGTTTTAGATATAAATATCTTCTGCAAACAAATAAAAAAAGCCCAGTTGGGAACAGTTCCAAGTTTTAACCTAACTGTAGTGTTTCATTCCTCTGGCTTTGGAAATCCAGAAGACATTTCCAAATATTTGCAGGGTGACTCTTCTTTTAATTTCCTAAATTGATTGTTCCCCGAAAGCTTGCACACCAATTCTCACCAAGCTTAATATTTACAAAAATCTTGACTTTTTACATATCAGTCAAAGGAGGAGGCTATATTCTCTCAAGAGTTCAAGGCCACGAGATTATGGCTCTTTCTGCCTCTTAAAAGTCTCTTGTCCTCTTGACTCAGGAACATCAAGCCATATTATTTACAAGCTATGTTACAAACTGAACCCCTTCTGCTCAGCAGTGTAAAGTGTCCCATCCGAATAATGCGATAGGTAGTGAAATCATTTGGGAATTCAGAATCTGAACAAGTTGATGAAGTCCTGGGGCGAAAGAGATGTCAAGCAGCTTTCTGGATTGTTAGCCGTACAGGGGTGCTCGGTGCCCTACAAAACAAGAACATCAAAATCTTTAAAAGTTGTATCAGGTAGTTCTATCAGCACCAGAAGAACAAATGGCACACTGAATGCTCATCAACCAACTCATTCATCAATCATATTAAGATGTGCGAAGTTGGCTTAAATTCACTTCCTTTTTATCTGATTTTTATCCGTTATTATTTTATATGCAACTCAAGGCAGCGAATATACATATTCCTTCTTCCTCCTATTTTCCGCACAATAACAATCATGTGAGGTGGGTTGGGCTGAGAGAGAGTGACTGGCACAAAGTTCCCAGCCAGCTTTCATGCCTACAGCGGGATTAGAACTCAGAGTCTCCTGGTTTCACTTAATGGAACATTTAGAATATGTATAGCTGAGATTAGAAACGCAGTGCCTTCACATACCAGAGCATTCATTAATCTACCCACCATTATATGAAATTTAAAAATATTTTTTTAAATGGCCTGAAAATCCACAAGATTGTTCAAGTTAATGAATTATGTAGACAAAACAAAAACCCCTGCCCTATAGCGTATTTCAGTGGAACAGGATGAAGTGATGCATTTACCTTCCACGAAAGGATATGACAGTGTCTGCAAAGCTGCAAAGTATCTCCATATTGCTCTTTCCGTGGATAACATCTCACAAGCTTGAAGTACATCTTCTTCCAATCCAAATGCCCCTTATCTGACAATATGAGCCGCTTACGTATCTAAAACAGAGACACAAAATTATAGTTTTGCAGAGATATGGCTAATGGTATGGTCACTCCGCAACAAGAGAACCCATGAAGAAGTAAGTATGCCGCCTTAAAACAGTAAGTGTGGACGTGGCAAGTCTTAAAATTAAAAATAATATTGGAACAGGATGAGCAGAGATCAAGAATTAACACAAGAAATAATAAATTGAAAGCATCTACAAGTGTGTTCCTTCTCTAAAAATGATGTGGAAATTTAAGATAAAGTCCTTTATGAAGGATATGAAGGAAATAGAGCATTATAAGAATAAGCTGTGTGCCATTGTTGCTTTGTGACAATATGCCCTCAAGAGGAGGCTCAGAGACAGGATAGTGTCCATGTGTGATACACCATCCTGGTTGAATAAGCTTCATGATTAATCAAGAACGAATGGCGAACTGAGGAAGATTCTGATTTATTTTCTGTATATTTCTTTGGACCTTTTACATTATCACTTTCCACTGCCATTTACCTGTCGATCTGTGAAATGGTAGTGGCAAAGTTTTTTCCAGAGGAGCCGGTCCTCACTGAGCACCTGAAGACTCGGAGTCACTTGCCCTAGACTCACGATGTCTCGCCCATCTGACAGCCGTTGCATGATGTCTAGTTGTAAACACAAGGGCAGGTCTGTGAAAGTCAACCCTTTGAAATCAGGCTGGAGAAATAAAGAGAAAAAGAACGGGTAACAACACTGAAAGATACCAAAGTTTCTACACAGCTTATAAGAACGTTCACTTATTGTATTAAAGTTGCCTTCAAGGGGAGATGACATCCTCAGGACTTCATGAGCAGATTCTTGAGGTGATATTGAAAAGATTTGCCATTCTGTGTTTTTTTTACAGAATATTTTGTTTTTTCAATTTTCCACCTAGCCTATAGTGACAGACTTCCTAAAAGGTGCCCATTCAAGAAATAACTCCGCTAATCCTGCTTAGCGTTCTCAATTAACCAAGGCCAAGTGTAGGTATTACCTCACCCAACAACTCTAAGTGGGACTGGAATTTCCATTGCTAAGCAAAGTGGTCATTAGGAGAAACGTCACATGACTGCACTGCTTAGCGACAGCTTCTAGTAGTCCTAGTTGCAGGTGAGAAAGTGACATCATTAGGTGAGGAGTCACACTTCTCATGTCCTGCCATACTCACCTCCACAGGTTGAGCACCATTATTCTAGAGAATTGAAAAGCTGGCATAGCTACAGGTAGACTTAATTCTGCATATTGATCTTGTTGTTGTTGAACCTCTTCCGCTTTAGGAAGTAACCCAATAGCAGCTTTTTGATCAGCTAGTCAAAATGTCAGACTCTTTGCTCACCTTGGTGATCTGGATATTGTTCAGCTGCTGCTGCCAATAAAGAATCATCTCCATTCGGTGGACCCACATGTTTATGTTGCCAACCAGAACACACTTGCCAACACTCTGGACCAAGGTGCAAAGTGACATGTACAGAGTCTGCAGCAATTCTTTTATCAATCTGATATTCTGTTGATCCTCCAGAACTTTATGGGGGAAATGAGAGAAAAGGGACATTCAGATAGAGGCAAAGAAGAAAGACGCAAACAGACTGAAGAAAAGTCACTTCTGGAGGATCATGGAGAAGGATCAGTTTTGCTTCTCATCCTTCACTTCCAGGGTGGTGCAAAGTAATGTGTAGGCATTTCCATCCTATATAACCTTCAGTCCCTACACAATAGTTTGAAATTGCCTTGCAATTATCCCACACACTTAAAAATTATTACAAATGTAGGGAACTCCATGAGCCAGTCAATGTTCCCCTGAAATTGACCAGTGCTACTGATCTTCACAAGACCTTAAACAAAGCTATTTTTTAATTATTATTTGGGGCCTCTCTGTCTTGGGTGATAAGCCAAATCTTCATTACCTCCTCATATCTCAAAACCTGTCACCACTCAGAAGTGTGAGGCACATATATAATGGTAACACACTTGTGAAAGACAGACTGCTATGACATTCACACAGGGTTGTGAAGAACAAGGCAAAGCAATTTTGCTCATTCATGTCATTTTTTTTATCCTTCTCTAACTGGCGTCTTCCATTCCTAATACGTTGGATTATTGTAATTATATGTATGTTGGATTAATATGTTGGATTACCCTAGTTATGCTGGCTATATATGATGGAGGCTGTAGGTAGATCAGAGGATATCATATTGGGAAGAATTGTTATTTCTATATATTGGATTTGGTAGGATTTAGTCCCATCTTTCACCTTAGCAAGAATTGGTCAAAAATCAAAGACATAAACCCAACCAGATTATCTGCTAAATGAATGTACTAGAGACCAGTTGCTGATATTTTGCCTTTTCTATTTATATATACCCATACCTTTTTGCACAACTTTCTCCAAGATATTCATAAAGTTTTTCTGGGCGATTCCACTCAGTGATGTCAGCTGAGACTTTGCAATCAGCTCCAACAACTGTGAATAAAAATAAGTAATTCAACCTCTTGAGCAATTCTAATCTTGGTGTTCTTCTCAACCCAGCAAAACAGTTTTAGTTATTTGCTGCTTGACTTACAAAAAAAAGAAAGAAAGAAAGAAAGAAAAAAAAAAGGAGGATTGGAGCCAGACAGAATTATGGGGAAAAGTAGAGGCAAGAGTTTCAATAATTACAATCTATTTGGCTTCTTCTGGTAAGCCAAGTCATTAAAACAGAGGACAAAGATAGACAGATGGTTGCCATTTAATCTGTTTAGAGATATACATGAATCTACATGATGGCAGTGAGAGAGAGCCAAAAGTCCCCCCCTCCCCCCTTATTCTTTTCAGTGGTACTTTCAACAACAGACATGGCAGCAAAGTGGTATTAATGACTGGTCAACTCCTGTCCATCATTCTGCCCAATTCTGAATGACAATAGAAGACACATGGGACATTCTATTAATATCTTCCACAGGCACATGATGGATATTAATCTAGGGAGCAGAGAAAACAGTCACAGCTAATTGGCTAATCCAACCAATGCCAGCTAAACAACTTAATCTTTATGAATCACCTGGGACCTGACAAAAATAAAATCAAATGCTCACCCTCACAACTATGTGCTTTCCAAGTCCCACAGGACATCACAGTCCTGACCAAGAATGCTTTCTCATATGCATTTCTTTCTACTCCTTTATATCTGAACTGGGCACGGTCTAAGACAGGCATGTCAAATTGCCAGCCGGCAGGCCAGATGTGTCACGTCGAAACCACACCCAGCCCATTGCCAGCAATGGAGAAAAAGTCACGATACGTCACACGACATCACATGACATCACGAGTTTGACATGCCTAGTCTAAGACAAGAGCATGCACAACTCAAGAACACGTTGGGTGCCATGGTCCAGAAAATGTGGAGGAAAGCCCCATCCTGGGTGAAGGCAGAACATACATGTTAAAGGACAAATAGTTGCTGTATGTCTCTGTTTTGGATATGGTTGTTTTAAGCTACCCATTTTGCAGTTTAAGACAATTCCAGAATGACATCCTCCTCCTCCTCCTCATCATCATCACCATCATCATCATCATCATCATCTATGATCTACCCCGGTAATTCTAAGGACTACACTTTTGGTCCTCTTGTTATCTAAAGACAGCAACATGGAACATATACCCTGTTCAGAATTGATGGTAACACTTAGATGACATCTTAGAAGCTAAGCAAAACTGAATTGGAGTGGAGACCACCAGGAATTACAAGCGCAGAAGGGAAGTTGAAAAAGCATCTCAGAAGGCAGACACAGAGCACTTCTGCACTATGTCCCCCTGGAACACCCCCCCACCCCCCCAAGGTACTTGGAAATCTCTATGAAGCTGCAAGGAATCAAAGTCAACTTCAAGATGTCACTTTCTGTACTCCAAAAGAGTAAAAGAGCTTCTTACTGGTGTATAGCAATGTTCCTCAACCTTGGCAACCAGAAGATGTGTGAAGTTTGCAAACTGGCTGGGGAATTCTGGGAGTGAAAGGCCACATATCTACGGGTTGCCAAGGTTGAGGAACACTGCTGTATAGTACTGAATATTTGAAGGACTACTACCCTTACTTGAACGTGCCTTCATTTTAAGATATGCTGAATTCTTCATTAGCTAACATAATCAGAGTCACACACATTGCTAGTTATCTTGCTGAACATGCTAACCCCATTTTAAAGGGCACCTTTAATCCTTCTCTGACTTCCAAGAGATGTCAACAAAGTGTCAACATCTTGGTATTAGAGTCCTTAGCCAAGTCCTGCCAGGGACATAACAGGAATTCAGATGGGTTTTGGATGACAAATAATGATTCATTTCTCTCTTTGGTATTCTTCTTGCCTCTGATCCAATAGAATCATTTCATATAAATCTAAAATACTCCAAAGTAAAATAAAAAAAAAAAGGCTTAGGAATTTACATAATATTTTATGGGGTGGCTTGATTACATTCATGGTGCTTGGCTAATCTGATCAATTTATTTGAAACTTCCTATTTTAATTTGAGCTACACTGGAACCAGTTCTTTTTCCCACCGTTACTTAATCATCTGCCAATATGAATGATAGAATTTTGAATTTTTAAGGCTGCAGAAAACAGAAATGATTAGAAAAACCAGGTTTGGTTCTTGAATACTGCAACTTATACATATGGAAATGCTAATGGCGAGAAATTTGGCTTTAGATAAATGTCTTTCAGCTTTATTTTTTTTAAATGATCCCTTACTTCTTTTGGTTATTCCATTTTTTCATCCAATTTTTGTCTTATTTAGAATGGCAACTCTCTTGCTATTTTTTTTAAAAATGTTCTGTAAGTTATTTTGAGCCATTTCAGGCAGAAATATCATTTCACACTCAACACCCCAGTACAGGAGAAGTCACATTATGACAACATAATGTGACTTCTTGTTATATCATCCCTAAATGATGAATTATGTAATTGCATTCTCATTTGCAGTTGATGCCAAACTGTGATGACTTCCTCAAGTAAATGCTGCCATTGCTTTCCTGCATTACGACATCTTAAAATCATGACATAAAATCATGACCTTTTATGCAAGGATGTAAACTGCAAAATCTGGGTGACCTTGTCATGCCATGCTTTGTGTCCTCCCTCCATGGATAACCATTTCATGTGTTTGCTTTCTAGTTATGTTTTTTGGGTGGCCAAATCTAGCTTAATGGCTAGGTACCTGTAGCAGTCCCCCCCTCCACTCTTGCAGCCATCCTGAGGATACCCTACTATCATTTCAAAAATGATCTACCACAAAATAGCATATTGAAAATGGAGCAAGCTTTGGATTTACACACTCTACCATTACAACTTGGCTGCATGAAGCAATTTGGAAGTGCTTGTTTCAAGATGTATTAATTACAGCACAAGGAGCTTTTGAAACTAGGCAAGTGTCAGGCACGGAAGATCAGGACTACATATGAAGTTCCAATTAAACTGATTTATTACTAATCATGCTTATGCACAAGAATCAACTAATAGTTAACTTGCCTGCCATTAGCTAAGGGACAACAGAATTCATGAGGGATTGGACTTAGTCCATTTGTGGCTACGTAGAAACTCTAGGCTAATTGCACTTTTGACTCCACCTCCAGGTTCTGCCACTCCTTCTGTTACAGTATAGTAAAATTTGACCAAACTTATACCAGTTGGTTCCTCCTCACATAAACAGTTGCAGCGAACAATTGTAATTTCAAAAACTGCCACTAAATTTTTTAAAGCAGGTTGTCAGCAATCAATTCCCTAAAGTTTATGCCTTTCTTTTTTTCTCCAACCAATTCTATTAAAAATAAAAGACGTGAATCAGTTATTTTTTCAAAAAAAATCTTCTAACTGAATTGTCTGAAAATTTAAAGTTCAGTGTGATGTGCCAGAATACACCATGCCAGTTCTCCAAGAAATGAGTTCAGTAAAGGACAAGCACATTTTCTGCTCTTGGTTGTTCTTGTGCGATGAGCAATTAACTCAGATTTATTTAAATTCAAGAAGAACATCTTTTCAATACTTTGCATACAGACCTACATTTTGTATAGGACTGGCTTGAACATTTACTAAATTAAATTATGGAGGGTTTTTTTGGTTTTATTGAAGACTGTAAGCCAGGGTTTCTAGCAATAGGTTGGGTGGGCCTCACAGTTAATTCAATAACCCATCATTAAACAAATCATGGCTTAGAACAGTTACAGACCCATCCTGAGACAAAGGTGCCGGTCTGTCTGTTCTTTTAACCAATGTATAATCTACATGCTAGGAATTATTTTAGTTGGTTAGTATACAGTTCAGAGAGAAGTCACTGTCACAACAGCCCTGGATTGTTTTTGACTGATAAATGAAAAGCAACTGAGTCTTTGTTTGGAGTTCCTGATCTAACAACATATAACTGACTCCCGAACTATGACCAAAAGGCTGTATATCATCTCTTTGTTTGTCTGCAGTGAAGCACTTGACTTGACTGGTTCTGGCGACCTGCCAGCCAGAACTTTCTCCTAGAAGTGAAAAGCTAAAGCAGTTGACAACAATGACTAAGCAGGATGACAGTTATGCGTAAACAGCTTTGACCTGCCAGCTGGCCTTGCTACAACATTAAATTCAGGGAGGGGGGATGGAAACATGGGAGAGCATAACAAGAAGAACTAAAATTGAGACTCAGCCAAGGGGGCAAACAGGTGTTGGTGGGATTTAGGACCAGGAACTATTCTGGAACAGAGACTTATTGGAACCATAGCAAAGGATGATATACTTCTGTGATTCGATAAACCATATTACTTAAAGCTAGATGCTCTTGAACCTTCAATCTTAAACAGAAGTTACCAGTAGCTTTTGAAATTTCTTTCTAAAAAAAGGTCTAAATTAGCTTTCTCCAGCCTCCAAATTTGCCTTCCAAATTTATTGAGATTTTTTTTTTTTCAGAATTCCCACCCAGGACAGAAGTTATAATTCCAACTAATCCAGGAGATTGGGCTGGATATTTTTTGTTCTTAAGAATAAAGTCTCCTACTAATTCTCTTGGGTTGTAAACTGATCACTGAAGATAGCCATTTGTACTTTAATCAAGTATGTCCCAAAGCTTTTCACACATGCAAACAATTCCTGCAAGGATACTTCTTGCCCCTCTTTCATGTCTACCTTCACCCAACATGTTTAACTTGCTGACTGAATGAATCAATGTTTTTAGATCCAGACAAAATATAGTACTGAACCGTAAATTAAGCAACCAAGCAACCGTATTACATTGTGTGAATGCAGCCATAAAATTTGTAATTAATCTGCTAAAGCAAGCTGTATGATCTCATCCAGGAGAGCTATCTGCCAAGCCCAATTGAGTTGTTTTAAACAATTGTCCCAGTCATAAATTAAATGGAAATTAGATAGAATAATAATAATAATAATAATAATAATAATAATAATAATAATAATAATAATAATAATAATAATAATAAAGTTGGAAGGGACCTTGGAAGTCTTCTAGTCCAACCCTCTGCTCAGGCAGGAAATCCTACCGTTTCAGACAGAGGGTTGTCCAATCTCATCTTAAAAATTTCCAATGTTAGAGCATTTACAACTTCTGGAGGCAGGTTGTTCCACTGATTAATTGTTCTGTCAGGAAATTTCTCCTAGTTCTAGGTTGCTTCTCTCTTTGGTTAGTTTCCACCCGTTGCTTCTTGTCCTGCCTTCAGGCGCTTTGGAAAATAGTTTGACTCCCTCTTTTTTGTGGTAGCCGCTGAGATATTGGAACACTGCTATCATGTCCCCCCTCGTCCTTCTCTTCACTAAACTAGACATACCCAATTCCAGCAACCATTCTTTGTATGTTTTAGCCTCCGGTCTCCTAATCATCTTTGTTGCCCCACTCTGTACTCTTTCTAGAGTCTCAACATCTTTTTTACACTGTGGTGACCAAAACTGGATGCAGTATTCCAACTGTGATAGATAGACAGACAGAAAATGATAGATGGATAGAGACTGAGACAGACAGAGAGAAGGATGGCACTTGTACCAGATCTGCATACATATTTTATGACCACTCCATATTAAAGTTATAGTGTATTGGTTCTTTAGTGTATTTCATTTTGTTTTACTCTAATCCAGGGGTTCTCAACCTTGGCAACTTTAAGACTTGTGAACTTCAATTCCCAGAATTCCTCAGCCAGCAAAGCTGGCTGAGGAATTCTGGGAATTGAAGTCCACAAGTCTTAAAGTTGCCAAGGTTGAGAACCCCTGCATCTAATCTGTGAATCTTCTGAGAGAAACAACATCTGAATGAACTGCATCAGTTGGGTAAACCAATCTTTGACACTCACCCGTACAACATAGTTGAATCTTCTGGAGTCCAGAATAGCATTAGAGAAATCCAGTCTATTGAAAGCTTCTCCCAGGGTGCAATAGCCATGGCGCTAAGAGTAAGAAAAGGAAATAGATGAGTGATTTCTTTGTGTTAATGATTCAGATTAGAAGCAAATTGTCTGGATGGTCTGAAACTAGACTTGCAGAACAACAAAGTCTGGTGGATTGCAAGGCTAAGAGGTAATCAGGATCTCCACTTTCATGAAAGCAAATACTAAGAGGGGTTTTCCAATGCAGCAATCATAGGGGGGAAAATCTACCTTTCTACTGGAGATTTCTTGGCCTGGATCTGCTGATCACCAACCTGTATAGGCGGATCCTTTCTTTCTGGGCTTAGAACTGTCATGCTGCAAAAATGATGCTTTTATATTACACAGTCAAATGCCCATAAAAGGGATCATGAGGCAAAGTAGATGAGTCCAAATTAAGCAAATGGACAAGACCAAGATTTTCCATTTTCTTGGGCTCATGGGAGATCATTTTTTAAATGTGTTGGCTATGCTCATGATATGTTTGCCACTTCAGCACTGAAGGGAAATATACCATCCATTTTGAGCAACCACTATCTGGGGAGCTTTTAAGGTCACCAAAGTTTTATTCTTCCCCCTTAGATGAAGTAGATCTGCTCTTTCTCAGATCTAATTTGAATGAGTACAGTCTGAAGCAATGTTTCTGAATTCTCAGCAACTTTAAGATGTGGGACTTCAACTCCCAAAATTCCCGAGGCAGTAGGAGAATTCTGGGAATTGAAGTCCTCACATCTTAAAGATGCTGAGAATGGGAAATATTGGTCTAAAACAGGGATGTCCAACCTTGGCAAATTTAAAATCATGCTGGCTGAGGAGTTGAAGTCCACAAGCCTTAAAGCTGCCAAGGTTGGACACGCCAGGTCTAAAACATTATACTGTATCATTCTACTGCAGCCAGTCAAAAATCGGTACTTTTAATCAAATATATCCATATTACAGTATTGTTGAAGTAATGTATTCAATGTTATTAACTACATTTGATGGAAACAATGATGGAAGAGATTGGAGATTTTAGGCAAAATATTAATGGTTCAAAAAAAAAAAATAACAGGTACTCACTTCTTTAGTGCTTCCCTTGTGTACATAAATCCATTTTTCTTGGTGAAAATCTGTGCAAACAAAAATACACTTCATTTAAAATCATATGGACATTAACACTTTGAATTCAGAAATTATGTTAGCCCTTCGGTCCCATCCGGATTTTTAGGAACACCCTCCTCCCTCCCCCGCAAGTTATGGATACCCCTGTTTTTAAGAAACAATTGTATATAAAAACTCCAGTTCAAATATTCAGAGTGTAAAGAGTTGAGATCAGTTCACTGGTGGGAAAGAAAGGGGAAACTTCTTCTCTGCCAAATACAAAGGATGATAATGTCAATGCAAAGGCATTGCACACGGAGCAGAGTTTAAAATCCAAGTCATCCATCTTCAAATTGCAATGAATCCAAGTTCTCTGGTTAAGGTCAAAATCCGGGTGCAAAATCTCTCCAGAGAGTTCTGGAAGAGTTGCAAAAACCATTTTCACGGTGTGAGAAATTCTCCCTCCAATTAAAGTTGTCTTTTGTTAATTTGATATTGTAAATGTCTTACACTGAATCCTGGTATTATTATTCAGCTGGTCCTTCTTTCGTTTTTTCGCAGCAACATCGCAGATCAGATTATGGAAGATGTTCTCCTTGTTGAATTCCTCTTTCCAGCAGTAACTGGAAATGACACACAAAAAAGGGGAAAGGATCTTGAATCTCTTATACATTTGTCTTCATTATGACCCCCCCACTCCTTCCTAAAGAAGAGTTAGAGCAGAAATATAAACAGCTAAGTTGATGTATGTCCCAAAACTGCACTCTTCTAACAGACTAAAGCAAGGGGTGTCAAACTCAATTTCACTGAGGGCCGCATCAGCATTGTGGTTGCCCTCAGGGGGGCTGGGTGGGTGCGGCCAGGGTGGGTGCGGCCTACTGGGTGGGCATGGATGGAGTGGGTGTGGCCTATTGGGTGGGCATGGCCAACTCTACATCGTTTGCGTCAAGGGGGCCTGTGGGGGCCTGGGCAGGAGTGGGACAGATCTGAGGGTCTCTGGCAGAAAGGGGTGGGACTGGGGCAAGCACCAAGGCATGGTCCATTTCTTCATTCCTCACAAAGGGTGACACCTCCCCAGCATGCATCCAGGGGGCGGGGCCGACATGGCTGTTTCTAGACGGCCTTGTGGAGCTAAGACTGAATGCGTTTCAGCATAGATGGCCACCACAAAATTGTACATTGGCTCCCGGCCAGCCTGGGCCAGGGCCAAAGCAGCGGGGGTCATTCTCTGAATGTTTCCAGGATGGCTTCGTGGGCCACATGAAACCACTTCGCGGGCCGCCTCCGGCCCCCGGGCCTTGTGTTTGACAAGTCTGGACTAAAGGAATCTGTTTGAGGGTGAAGGAATCTCTTATTCCTAGAAATAGTTGCTAACCCACTGAAATATTAATTGGAAACTATTAATAATCGTGAATGGAACCAGAAAACAGTGGTAGGTGGATGATGGCAGCCTTGCAGAATTGCCCTACTCTTCAAATAGACACCCCATTGCTACAAACTTTCAACAATGATGGCTGCTTTCCTCTAAAATTTCATGTCCAAGGTGGTTGGTGTTCCTTCCTTCTCCTACCAATTGCTTTTCTGTTCCAGATCAAACTACAGGTCTGGATCTTCTCTATATTCATTGTTCTCAGACTCCATTGATGTGACCTAGTTTGGTGTAGTAATTTAAGGCACCAGACTAGAAACTGGAAAAAAGAGAGTTTTAGTCCCATCTTAGATATGAAGCCAACTGGGTAAGTGTGGGTCATCCATTCTCTCTCAACCCTAAAAACAATACTACTGCCAATCACTACTGAAAAAATTATCAAGAAATGTTGCGGGAATTCTGCAAGGACTTGTCCAGGCAATCTCTAAGAGTTAAGATTGACTCGAAGGCATGCACACACAAGATCCCACTGAAATCAAAGGTCATTTTTATTATTATTTCACTTCCTTTATTGCATGCCAGTGTTTTTTTTATTATTCTTCATCAATCTGATACCCTCTAGGTGTGTATAGACTGAAGGCAATAGGGCTTGTAATCTAGTACATCTGGAAAGTGTCAAAGGTTGGTTCTAAGATTTTATTTTTTTTAAGTTGTTTACATCTGTACATGCTACATTTATCTGAAATGTATTTTACAGTTCAGTTTTATCTTTACAGTCCCAGTTTATCATGCAAAGATGATTAAGGATTTGTTTATACCGTTCCTTCTTGTTTATGATCTCTGCTATTTTCAGGTTTTTTTCTTAACATGACTTTTATCAGTTCTATCTTCCTTCCCTTGAGGCAAAGGAATTTTTTTCCTCAACAATTATGTGTTGCATCCCTTTCTCTGCCCTTCTCTTTCCTTGAAGCTCTTCCGTTTAATCATGGCTTACTCTCTTAATCTTCTACAATCAAACTTTGCTCGTACCCTAACAGCATCTGGCACATTCTCTCTTCCCAGAGTTTGCAACCCCCACCCCTTTCTTTTCCCTACTTATATTCCAGAAGATAATAAATCCTTTAAAGCTGTGGAAGTTGGGTAAATTAACCTTGCACACATTGAGAATGCCACAAAAAAGACCCGATTTTTAATAAATAAATGAGTATATATTGACTGTTGGACAGGAAATCATTCCTATTCTATAGTCAGGGGACTTTCATTGATGAGAAGCATCTTCCTCTGGCTTCTATCACCCAAATACCTGGAAGAGGCACAGGATTAATCGCTTAGTAATATAGCATATGCTTTGCAAACAGAAGCAACCTGACCTCAGCATCCCTAGTCCTGTTAGGGACGTTAAACTGTCCAAAACTGTAAGAAGCCCCCTCTAAACATCATAAAGATTACCCCAAGACAATCTTAGCTCCATCACTTCATGGATGTGTCCATGAACAGCCATTGGTTTGTTAACAGTGCCCCATTGTTATTTCTGGCGTGGTTTTTTTTTTTTTCCAATTTCTCATCTGATCTTGGAATTTCCTACTGGTCTCCTTTGCAAATACTAACCTGATTTGCTTTTTTTCCCCCTTTTTTTGAGAAAGAGAGTAATCCATGTGCTAGGTGCTATCATGTGGTATGACAGATGAGCCAGTATGACCCAGAATAGATAATACTGATTTGGTGGTCCTGTGAACTGACTCAGTGACGGGTCTCCTGAAATAATCCAGTTCTGCATCTATACACTACACTGAGCCAAAAATTAACTCAGTGGGCTGAGTTTATACAATACAATAAGATTAGAAACTAACCTTTGTTCAAATTACAAAGTAAACCCCAGGTCTTTAACTGACCTCGTTAAATGTATTGTGTGAACCAAGTCAGCAATTGGCAGAACTGCAGGTTCATGTAAGCCCCATGGTCTTCTCTCATTACACCATTCCTCTAACCTCACCACAGTAGTGATCAAATGCACGGGAGATACCCAACTACCCTGTTGGTCTATTGGGGGAGAAAGGAGAGTCCTTATAGAGCACCCCAGAGATGTTCCCCATCCTTTGTTCCCCATCATGGCAACCAGACCAAGAGCAGCCCCTGTAATATATTCAAACTTATAAGGGATTCAACAATTTCTTTTGTAAGTACGTAGAAATTCCAAATCCATGTACTCTGATCCCTGGTTTTTGCATCAACACCATTCTGACTTTGAAAGGCCATTATTTCAAGGTCCATTGCAATCAGAAAGGAAAAGAGAGTTAAAAGAATTATCTAGCGCTTCCTTAAGACTAGCTATAAATAAGTAAGTAGGTAGAAATACAAAGTCCATGTACTCTGATCCCTGGTTTTTGCATCAACACCATTCTGACTTTGAAAGGCCATTATTTCAAGGTCCATTGCAATCAGAAAGAAAAAGAGAGTTAAAAGAATTATCTAGTGCTTCCTTAAGGCTAGCTATAAACAAGTTGAACCATCAAGCAATTCCAGAAAATGCCTCATCTAGAGAATAACGCTTCTTGATACAAGATCCAGCTGCCATTTTCTCAACCAGAAAAATTAATGCTTAGGCAATGCCCATTTCTGCAATTTTGCACCACAAGACACATGACCTTTGGGTAATAATCTTGTCCTTCCACTAACCGCCTCTTGCTGTCACAACTTCCTGCTTGAGTCACATCTAAGCTATATTGCTGATACCTTCAGGCACTGTTACACTCATGTCTCACATATTTACCAACTGCAATTCGGGCTTCTTCGAAGATCTAAAAATACTCTGTTGTGAGCAGCAGATTGCAAGGAGGATGACTGGGGAAAGCAATGTGAAACTAAAGCTATCTACACATCCAGGAAGAATGAAGATCCAGGAAGTGACATTTGACAGACTTCTACTTTCAACTGCCTTTCTACTGAGAAGTAGAGAGGCAAAGATAGCAGATCTATCCAGTTCGTGCAAATCGTGGGAGTACAAACTGATGACAGGCAGTCCTCAACTTACGACCACAACTAAGTCCAACATTCCCATTACTAAGCAAGACAGTTGTTAAGTGAATTTCGTCCCATTTTATGATCTTTCTCGCCACCGTTCTTAAGCGGATTACTGCAGTTGCTTAAGATAGTAACACGGTTGTTAAGTGAATCTGGCTTCCCCATTGACTTTGCTTGTCAGAAAGTCACAAAAGGTGATCACATGACCCCGGGACACTGCAACCCTCATAAATGCATGCCAGTTGCCAAGCTTCCAAATTTAGATTGTGTGACGACGGGGATGCTGCAACCATCATAAATGTGAAAAACAGTCATTATAAGTCACTTTTTTCAATCCCATTGTAACTTTGAATGATCACTAAACAAGCAGTTGTTAAGTCAAGGACTCACTGTAATCTCTGAGATTGCAATAATCATCACAAAATACAGGACTACGCACACCTATCACTCTGAGGATGAGTTTTGTTTCAGGCTCAATGAAATAAAACAATATTTTACGTCAGGCTCACTTTGCTAAAATTCTATTTATAATTGTTTAGCCTTCTAAAGCAAGGGTTCTTCTTTACATGGCAATCTGTTTTATCAGTCCACTTACAAAGCTGTTATTGGGTTTTTTAAAGTGCTTCTCTAAAAGAAAACAAATAGCTCACCCATTGCTTCTGTTATACAAAGATATCACGTTCCTGCGTACATTAGTAACATGATCCTATTCAGTGTCATTCACAGGCAACCCTGTTGTTGAACCTCCTGGACAATTTATGGATTTGTATTCAGTCTCATTCTTGGTTGTCTAAAGCTATACAACCAAGAATAAGAAGTGATTTGGCCTGTACAGTAAACTTAGTTACTCGATACGCTTCTTTTGTGCAGAAAAACAGAACAGCCGTGACTCATGTTTATATTTAACAGATGGGAATTGGACTTCGTTCTTCTCAAATTCCCCGAAAGTCTTTAGGGCCTTTGCTTCATGAAAGGAAAGGGGAAGAGAATGGAAGAAAAAAAAAGAGAGAGAGATTTTCTAGAAAACTGAGCCTACATCCTTCTTGGCCATGATCCAAGGTGGCAAAGACAAAGCTGGGGACACAAATATCTGAAAATTCATGTGACAATTGAAAATTAATTTAATTATTAATTTAATTCTTAAAAGTAATATTTGTTTTTATCTGTGACACTGTTCCCAATCGGATTAAAACCTGGGGAAGATTCTTGCTCCAAGTTTCTGTCACTGAAATA